TCTCTCCTAGGGTCCTTCAAAATCCTGATCTTTCAGCAGCCTTCACTGACCCTGACCACCACCACCACCACCACGCCCCTGAAGGTCAGGTGTCCCTGCTTGGTGCTCCCATACTGCCTGGCACTCATCTCCCTCCTCACACGTGCTGCACTGAATCACTTGTTACACGGAATCTGTTAACATGTCTGTACCTCCTGGAGGACTCCCAGCACCGACCACCTAGCACAATGCTTATTACACAGCAGGCAGTCACTTCAGTGCTGCTAGAGTTAGGGAGAACTGGTCTCCTCTGCCCCTGAATTATTTCTCCTTCCAAAGAGCCAGGAATATTCTGCCGTTAGGGCAGAATTTCAGGATGAAGGCAGTTTACAGGCTGGTCAAGGAGAACCACTTAAACAGACAAAGAAAACCGAGGATGACAGATTTACATGAAATCAAATCTAGTCCATTGTTTTGATATTTAAGGAAATGGATAAAGGGAAACTTGCTACAAAGAAGTGGTTCACAGGAGCACCCTCGTAAGCATAGGCACCTATGATGGCTGTAATGAACAAAATTCCCTTCAACGGTTTCAACCTGGGAAATCCCACCCCCAGAGAGAGCCACGACCAGGTGTTATGGGTCAAACTTTCTTTTTCTCTTTTAGAGAAACAGGCTGGTTTTGAAATTCTTTTCCCTTATCTCCATATTAAATACAACAAACACAGCCTGCTCTAGCTCATTCACGCTTATACATGTTTGTTTTAGCACTAAAGTTAAGAGTCTGCCCTGTCATTCTAGCACTTTTTCAAAAACGGTACTACAAAAATAAAAAAAAATAACCTAGATCCATGCACACAGTACAACAGTCCTCTTTCATTTCTGAAAGAAATTTGTGTTTTACATGAACGTCAAGGTTCATGTTTCTATAGCAGCAATCGGGTGACAGGAGCTAACATCAAAGTGGTAGGACAATCTTCTTTGCCCATCTCCGGAAGTCAGTAACGACAATGCTACGGTGAAATCATACTAACCTGCAGGAAAAAAATGTCAGGGCATTTAAATAAAATCACAATCACCACCATCCTCTCTTACTTCCCTCCCTAGAAACTGAAGAAACAAAGTATCCTTCTAAGAAACAGAGTATACAACCCTGGGCTCCTTCAAGTTAACTAATTAAACACACCAAAGCCTGGTTCCCTTGTAAAAGATAAAACTGGTGGGAGGATCCTTCTTCATTCAAATGGTTTCCAGAAGATAGTAAAAAAACAGCTGACCTAATCTCCTTTTATTAAGGCTCTTGGGTACCCCAGCATCTCCAGATTCAAGGCATTAGAAGACTTAGCCAGACTAGCTCCCACCTGTGACATACAGCCGAAAAGCCACCCACTCCTACCTGTGACATGGAGGCACTGTGGGAGGAGAAGAAACAGACTGGCCAGAAAGAGATTCTTCCTATCTGAGAGGTTATGAACTAGACACCGTAGCTCTGGAGATTTAGGGAGGAAAAAAAAAACAAAAACAGTAGGGAAAAAAAATTATTGGAAAGGAGATTCTTAAAGAAGTATTCATCTATACCCTGAAGCTACTTCTATTGGAATTATGTTTAAAGGATTTTCAGGGTTGGGTCTAGCCCTCACTGCAGTCCCCAAAGTATTGCTCTCTCCCACCTCCTCCCTGGATCCTTTCCTCCTCCCCTTTACAAGGCCATTAGCCCCATTTCGAAACTAATAATAATTCTTTCTCTTCTGCACGACAAATATCCAACCGCTGTGGTTAAACACTATGTATAAGATAAACAGGGTCAAGAATGCTGGTTGCCATCAGAGTCATGTTTAAATTAGCATTAACTAGCAGGCCCTTTCCTAAACAAAACAAAATGCTTTCTTGGTCAGCTCTGGGCCTGGAGAGTGATTTTAACTCACACGCTCAAAAGGCCTCGCAAGCATCATTAATTTCTGCTCAATGAAATTTCTCGAAAGACCGCTATTGGTTTGGGAGGACTGTGGAGGAAGAGACTACGTATCATTTATTCTATCATTTTTATATAATCTGGATGAGCTGGCAGCAGTGCCCAAAAAATCACTAGCCATGAGTTACAATGAAAAGTAAAGGAATCAAAGCTCAGTCCTTTCACATATTTCACCTCTCACGACGCCCCAATAGGCGTCACCATTGTCTTTTAGCATTTTGGGGGTTAACGCCTAGTCCTTCCCAACCCCACATAGCGCAACTTCTTAAAATAACATCCAAGGTCCCCCCTAATTTACCGCCTGGTCCCTTTCCAGCCTTCAATACCCCAGACTCCAACTAGATCTTCGTTCTCCACCATTCATCTTTTCAGAGATGCATCCATTTAAGGATCCTTCAAGGCCCTTCTGTGAAGTCTTCCCCAGAGTAAGAAGTTCATTTTACATTCCAGAGCATGCCAAGGGTTCTTGGGTTCTACAACTGCCACCTAGTTATGCAAACCAGCTACTATGTTAGCTGCATGTTTCCCCTCTGCACTGCCGCTCCTTCTAAAGCCTCCTTTTTAGCATCTTTGTGTCTCTCTCTGTAGGAGGAATTCAGTAACTGCTTATTCTATTACAATCTTCTCCTTTTTTCCCAACCTTCTAAGGCATCTGTAATAGTTCCCCACGTGATATTTTAAGTAATAACACAAAAGGGATGGAGGGAGGGGGCAGGATATGTAAAAACAAGAAACCAAATAGTATGATGCTGAGTTAACAAGGCGAGAGCAAACTTTGAGACTTTAAACCAAGAGCTTATGTTCCCAGTTTTATTACATCACACTTCACTTTTAAAATAAATCATGTTCAAGTGTGTATGCATATGGGTACAAAAAAAAAAGAACCCCTAAAAAAAGACCAGCCACACATTAAGCACAGACATTAAAATCCTGACCTTAAACTAAATTTTAACTGTTATTTGTTGAACACTTGGAGCTTCCCACTGAAAATGATACAGTGTATTCTGCCCAGAGTGCAACTTTCCTTACTAAGCATTTGAAATAAGATTCTTGGCCCTAAAAATCACAAACTTAAAGACTAAATGTCATTATGCAGCAAAAAAACTTAGCAAGTGAGAGCTTCACTTTCTTTGAATTTCCCAGTCTAACAGAGCAGATTCAATAAGGCCTTGAAAAATCTATGGTATAATTTTTTTTTAATGAAATTTCTGTTTGGTAAATATTAGCTTCAAACAAAAATAGAAGTTTCCAAACACAAGTTGTTGAAAGAGCTGCCCTTCCCATCTCTGTATTTTTCCCCATCTTTCACAGGGATACTGAGGTCCACGGCACTGGGCAGCTGCGAGCCTGAGACAGTGGGGCAAATGGGAAGCTGGTCAGCTCCCGCGACAGAGACTACCCTCACATCACATCACTTTTAAGGCTGAACAAGTTCACTCACTGTAAGAGAATAATGGGAGACTGAGGGGGTGTGGGGGAGTATTACTGATGCCGTTGTGGAGGAGGAAAGAAAAAACAGAGGAAAATCAACCCCCCTAGGTCAAGGTTCTACCTCTACCCACCCCTCCAGGCATCTCTTACAGCAGGTTTTTTTTTTTTTTTCTACCTTTCATCCTGTTGCTCTCTCACTTCCCTTCTGGAATAACCCATTCACACTTTACTCTCTTCGTATTGTTCCAGCAAAGGATAACCAGCCGCCAGGCTCTAATTACTTGGGGGAGCTGGAAAGAACAGCGAAGATCATTAAATCCATCCATTTTCCAGATGAGTACCAGGAGGTGAAGGAAAAGCTGACCTGACTGGCTGAGGCGGCACCACTAGGGGACGTGGTGAGCATACAGGCTCAGATTAGGACAACCCACTCTTCCCGCCTGGCCCTGCCTTCAGCCGGTCCCTTCCCCCTAGCACTACCTCTTTCCCTAATTATTCCGCTTCTTTATCCTCAAATTAAACAGCGTGAAGTAAAACACAGACTTAACACACTTAACAGCGCTAATCGTTATTCACAGTTTTGCATTCGAGGCAAATTTGCTCACTCCTACCAGATTTAGAGAACCGAGGACAGAAACAACTAGATGGTACAGTGTGTGTGAGAGAGAAACAGACAGAATGCAATTTAGCTCAGTCCAAACCATCAGAACGTCAGTATACACCCTTTTCCTTCAGGCCTACTCTTCTATTTGACAAGGGAATCGCTTCTTAGAATTTAAAAGGTTTCCCAGTACAGTCTCCCTTTAACCAGAATCGTAGGCTTTAAATCACAGACCTCTGGCTTCACAGTTATGCTTAACGCTGGGCAAACAACACTTATGCAAATAAGTGAAAAACACGGACTGTTAGAGCCTGAAGGAATAGAAGATTTTATCCTAATAACGGCAGTTACAATTTTCCGATATTCAGGTTTGCAAATGTGCACCTATGCCACTGGGAATCGGTGCAACTTTAACAAGGGAGCACTCTCTGAAAACCCACATTTACGAAAAATCCAGAGATTTCAACAAACAAGAAAAGAAAGAGAAGTGGCGACAGAGAGCAACAATCTCGGGCCCCAGACTGAAGGCAGCAACAAGTCCTGGATGCCGTCATGCCTCACACACCAAAGGCCAAATGGCAGCAAAGAAAAAAACAAGAATAAAATTTAAATCCATTCATAACAAACTAGTCCTACACAAACCAAACGAGCCTGTCGGTTTCAAAACCACCAACTCTAAGCCAGGTCCCTCCCTTGCCTTCAATTTCCCAGTTACTTGCTGAGCGTGTTTGTTAGGCGGCTGCACAGAAACTAAGTTGAAAGTCCGCAGCTGGAGAGAGACTAAGGAGTCGCCCGAGAGAAGCAAGTGGTGCGGGAGCTCCGCGCTGCGGGGCGCAGGGTATCCCGGCGATCCTCGTCCACCCCGACCCGGCTTTGGGGTAATTTCGAGCCCTCCACCCCCTGCAAGCCTTCTCGCGCTCCCACCCAGACCCAGGTAACCCGAGGCCACCTACGTGTCACTTGGGCGGGTCCGGGACGCAAACGCGGCACCAAGCGCGGGCCCCGGGGCGCACGGACCTGGCCGGTGGGGGGGCACGAAAGGGCCGGCGGCCCGGGCGGCTGCGGCAACTTCCCTCCCGGGACTCGGTCAACTGGTTGGCGGCGGAGGCCAGGAGAGCCTCGCCTCCCACAGGCCAGCTCGCAAGCGCGCACGCCCACCCACAGCCGACCCAGGCGAGCGCGCGCGCGCGCACACACACTTACACTCGCTCGCACACTTGCACGCACAGCCACAAAGCCTGTCTGCCCCGGGACACTGCGAGCCGGGCGCGCCGTGCGGCGGCGCAGGCGACGCGGCGGCCACTGGCTCCGCGCCCTGTCCCCCGCCCCGCGCCCGCCCCTTTACCTGCGCCCGCCGCTGGCCCCCGGGCTGGCCCCCCGCGGCGCGCTCGCTCCCCGCCGCCCGCACCCGGCCCTCCGCCCGCCCCCTCGGCGGTCGCCCGGAACGGGGCCGCCCCCTGCGCCCACCCCCCGGGGAAGCCGGGGAGGGCTCCGCGGCGCCGGCGCCCAGGCCGCCCAAGATCCGGGCAGCGCTCCGCCGCGGACGGAGCAGTCGCATCCGGAGGAGCGCCAGCCGCCGCTGGGGCCGCCTGCTCGCGCTTTGGCGCGCGGGCCGGGGCGGCGGGGGAGGGGGCGCCGAGGCCGCGGCGGGGACGCCAGCCTCCTTTCTTCCTCCGCCTTCTTTCTTTTCTGCCGGCTCCACGTAGCACCAGTCAGCAACTCCCGCACCCCCGACTCCCTCCCCCTGGCCCGCTCCGTCACCTGGCGTGACGCCCCCGGAGCCCCGACCCTCGGCGCGCCCCCTCCCCCATCATGGCGACCTCCGGGCACCGGCCGCTGGGCGCGAGCGGAGGGGCGCCGAAGCCTCCCGTTACGGTCTCACACCCGCCCTCTCCGCAGCCCCCCGTGACCCAAGGTCGGGGAGACCCGCGGCCGCCGGCTCGGATGCTCGCCCCTCCCGCGCTCACCTCAGCGCCCGCCAGCTTGCTGAGCTGGGGCCAGGGCTCCCTCGCACCGCGCGTTTTCATTTTGTCGCTCTCCTCTTCCCCCTCGAAAAGCGCTGGAAAACATCGCGGGCCCGCAAAACCCCTGAAGTCTGGGCCTCTCTCGTAGTTCAGCTTCTCAACTTTGCAGAGGACACGAAGTTTCTCCCTGCACAGCCTGTAACCCGAGGCTGCAAAGAGCCGAGAGTCGACTTTTCGGGCTAGAAAGGTGCACGCGTTTCTGTGTCTGAGTTTTCCGCTGACTCGATCTGCAGACCACAGCCAGTGGGACTGGGCTCCCCTAGATCTCCGGAGCCGGGATTACACGCTTCTCTTCCGCTTTCCCAAACTTTCAGTGCAAACTACCAGTTGCAGGCGAGTGATTAAGGGCGGGGAATGCACACCTGGAGGTGTGGGCGGGAGCGGCGCCGGACTGAGGCCTGGGGATCGAGCTCTGGAAGGTGGCAGCCGCAGGGGATCGCCCTGGTCCTGTGTCAACACCCGCTCCCTGGGGAGCTTTCCAGCCGCGCCACCCCCCACCCACCTCCCGCTTCCCACCCTTAGCTTCCCAGGATTTCCGCAGTTGGGGCACTTCTCTGCCTCTCGCTCCGCTGCCCAAGTCGCCACGCCTCAGAAGTAGCTGTTTGGGAGTAAAAGCTGAGGGCTCTCTCGCCTGAAAGGACACATAAGAGACCGGGACAGCGGTGTGGCGTGGGGACTCGCTCGGCGGGACGGTAACTGCGTCGGAGGAAGAAACGCAGAACGGAGATGGGGGGCTGCACTGGTGGGAGTCGCTCGGTACTCTTCGGCTTTCCGAAGGGAGAGGCCCCTTTAAACCGCAGTGGGCGGGGAGGGGAAGACTTCTCAGAAGGGATGGAAACTTTTCTAGATAAAAGTGAGGTGTGCTTCTGCTAGGACCTGACCCGCTCCTGCCCGCGGCTGCTTAGAACTTGACCGTGTTGGCCTGTGGTTTTCACAGGATGCGCAGGGCTAAGACCTGTCCGCTACTCAGTTACTACCTAAAGCGGTTTCTTTTAAAAAAAAAATAATCTTTCAGGAGCGCCTGGGTGGCTCAGTGGGGTTAAAGTCTCTGCCTTCGTCTGAGGTCATGATCCCAGAGTGCTGGGATCGAGCCCCGCATCGGGCTCTCTGCTCAGGAGGGAGCCTGCTTCCTCCTCTCTCTCTGCCTGCCTCTCTGCCTACTTGTGATCTCACTCTCTGTCAAATAAATAAAATATTTTTTAAAATAAAAAATAATCTTTCAAATCCTTCTTTCAAAATATGTATGTGTATATACATATATGTGTATATGTGTGTATACATATATGTGTATACATATGTATATGTGTGTATACATATGTGTGTGTGTATTTTTTTTTTTTAAAGAACTCTCTACACCTCATTTGAGGCTTGAACCTACAACCGGGAGATGGAGACCCAGGCTATATGGACTGAGCCAGCCAAGTGCCCCTTTCTTAAAAAACCATACATTCCACTTTCTCTCCTTTCCTACCAAATTTATGGTTTATTTTACAATAATCCACTTAGAATGTGAAAAATTAGAAATGGTAATACATGCATGGTGCCAATATGTCCATTACAGTATAGAAATGCATGTACACACTCTTATTTCAAATGATGAGAGGCATTGATCTTATACTCAAAAAATATGTTGGACAAATAGGACCATATCCACTATAAAGTCTAAGTATGATACAATGTATATATTGCTAAGAAGAAAAGAATATATGCTGAAAGGGTTTTGTTTTCAACCATAGCTCTACACAACTCAGAAAATCACTTAGCTAATTTTCTTTTTTTTTCCAAAGATTTTATTTATTTGACAGAGATCACAAGTAGGCAGAGAGTCACACAGAGAGAGAGAGAGGAGGAAGCAGGCTCCCCGCCGAGCAGAGAGCCCGATTTGGGTCTCAATCCCAGGATCCTGAGATCATGACCTGAGCCGAAGGCAGAGGCTTAACCCACTGAGCCACCCAGGCGCCCCACACTTAGCTAATTTTCATGTCTCCTGATTACACACTCCTTATTTACCTCTAGGTTTCTCAATGCCAAAACTTTACTATCTAAAAAGAATATTCTACATTTTATTTAAAATAGTAAAAGTATGATATTAATTTTATCAATAAGCATTATAGATTAATTTAAACAAGTATTTCAATGTTTAGCCCCTCCTCATAAGTCAAAGTGTAAATGAGTTTCTTGTTTACCACAGCCCTTGAATATTTTTGAATACACTGATTGTCCCTTACCATCTTAAGGAATATTGCTGCTTGTGTTTTGATTATATATTAACTGCCTTAATATATAACTGCCTACTCTGTTGTCCTAACATCCAATGGGGAGTTCTACCCACATAAGACATATATGTATTCAAGAGTTCTAAGTTATCTGCTGCACAATACTTTATTTCCTCTTTATTTGGTCTACTGGGGCCTAAAATGAAATGGAGGGCAAAATTCAAGGTTAGCCTGGACAGACTTGTCTCTCTGACAAGTGTAGACCTGTCTGAATAAGACCGCTCTGCAATCAGCTTTAGAACAGTAACTTTCAAGTCGAATGTAAGCTGTATGCCCAGTGTAAAAGGGAGTGAGAAAATGAAATCCAAAACAGAATTCAGCTCAGCACAGAGATTAATTCATCAAAACTAGTACTGTGTTCCAAATAAGCCAGTTTTCTCCTCTGTAAAATGGGATAATAATACCAGCATAGTCTATTTTACTGGATTCTGAGTCGTCTTTATCAAAGTAAGGTAATAGATTTGAACAGTCTTCTTAAAACAGTGAATGTCTTCAATATTGAAACACTGATGCTTCAATAGAGGTGAAGGATACTGTGATACACTTTCTTCAGTGCTTTTACCTGCCTGTGGCCCTCTTGTCCTTCAGGTCATTCTCTCTCCTGGATAGTCATCCAAACACTTTCTGCTCTAACCCTTCTCTCTTATCCTCTGCCAAGCAGTGTTTCTCTAGATCTGTTTCTTCAAGTGACTTCGGCAGAGCCGAAGACTCAAAGACAGCTGGTACTGTCAAATGTGAGAAAAAACTATTTTCAGCAAAATGAAGATAATTTTAATGAGTATTTCAAGTACATTTTACACTATTATCTCAAAGGATACTACAGACTTTGTTGGATTACTAATGTTATCTAGCTAGGGGTCCAAGAGTTAAAACTGACGAAGCATTTAGCATGGAAAAATGGGCTGTGACTGCGTTAGGCTCTATCATTTGTTCAGAAAAGGACTGCTGGTCTTGCCAGTTCTTGGGTGGCCTCCCCATGTTCCCTTTCGTCTGGCAAAAAATCTTTGAAATTTTCTACGAGAGTAATCAAAACTATCAACAGAAAGATCTGTTGGAAACTTTCCCTCTGGTCTGGTAATGTAGAGACTGGTGCAAAAAATATATTTCGGCGAAACAATACCCTGAGAGAACACAGCCTGCTGGGAAAGTTCTTCAGGTGCCTCTGGGGCATAGGTTTCTTCCTTCTTTAAATGGGGCATTTGTGCTGCTCTGGTGTTTTCCCTTTGGCCAGAAAGAAATCATTCTCCTTAGGAAACCGTTCTATTTTAAAAGGCCAGCGGCAGAGGTGGGTGAGGCAGCCCAATTTAGTTTTGTTGTTGTTGTTGTTGTTTTGTTTTTCTAAAAATGCTCTTGAGGGTAGAAGTAGCATAGGGAGACTTCAGGAATGGGGAGGAGAAGTTGGGGTTGTGTGCACAGCAGCCATGTGGGAGGGCAATGAAATGGAAACCCTCAATGGCGTGCCTCTGTGCTCACCTGCTTCTCATCACACATTTCTGACCAAAAAATCTAGCTTGTCTGCAGCAGATCAAGGACTAGCAATTCCTTTCCTATCATCTTCCTTAGCCAAGTGAAAAGACTTTGATAGAAAACAAATGGAGGGAAAAGAAAAAAAAGAAAATGAAGATCAAAAAACATGTGTCACGTGTATAATTTGAGTTAATAAGACACCTATACACAAAGGAACCACAGAAAGGGTCATAAAACAAAAATCAAACAAAAATAGCTAAATTGCTAGTAAAATGGATAGTGGGAAAAAAAAAGACTATGAATGAGATTATAATTATAGTTCAGTAGAATTTTTTAATACTAATAGTATAGTCATATATTCCTTCTGAACATTAAAAACTTAGCTAAAATAAATACTTCTTAACAAAATATAAATTTATAAAACCAGTTGATTCAAAAGATCTATAACATGAATGTATCTATAACCATTAAATAAATTGAATTTGCTTTTCTAAATTTACCTACAAGAAAGC